GCCAGGCTGGATGAGGCTTTGGGCAACCTGGGCTGGTGGGAGGTGTCCCTGCCCATGGCAGGGGGTGGCACTGGGTGGGCTTGAAGGTCCCTTCCCACCCAAACCCTTCTGTGATTCTGTCCTCCTGGCTGCAGGGCTGTTGTGATCGTGGTCACTGCAGGTGCTGCGCTGGGCGGAGCGGACACACCGTGCTGCTGGGGGACGAGGAGAGCGGTCTGGGATGTGCAGGAGCGAGTCGGTGGCTGGGTAAACTGAACAAAACGTTCCGGCCTTTAGCGTTTGTATCGCAGCTTCCCACTCGCCGTGCGGGCGAGATCAGCTGGTTTATCATCCCGGAGGGGTTCCTGAGTTTCTTCCTTACCTCGTAGAGATGGAGCTGGGGGAATTTCCATCCTCTTGCATGGCAGCTCGTGGCAGTTGCTGTGGCGCAGGGTTGAAGTCGCAGGTGGAGGCTGTGGCTCTCTGGTTCCTTCTGTTTGAACACTGGCTGGTTGCTGCTGCACTGCCCCTGCCGCCGGCGGTGGCTGGGAGCCGTCAGCTCTTGGGGATCTCTGGTTTGTGTGATCGGGACTCCAGTACGCTCATGAAGGAGAATTCTTTCAGCAGAGCTGTTGTTATTTTAGGGTAACAGAGGCCAGAAATGGTGATCCGAGCCCATTCCCCCATGTCTGTGCAGCAGACGCTGCCCTGCCCGTCGCTGATGGACGGGAATGTATACCCTGGGGTCTCACCTCTTCCTCCGGCCGCCAGCCTTCAGTGATTTGAGTTCCTCTTCTTTGGAAGCAGGTGCTGTAAATCTGGCTCCTCCGGCTGCGGGGCAGGCGTGGCTGGGTGCTGAGGATCCGGCTGATGGTTCCCAGCCGTGCTGATGCTGCTCTGCCCGAAGAGAGATGGGGAAAAGATACTTCTGCGACTACTGCGACAGGTCCTTCCAGGACAACCTTCACAACAGGAAGAAACACCTCAACGGAGTGCAGCACCTCCGGGCTAAGAGAGCCTGGTACGACTTATTCCGAGGTGGGTGCTGTCTGCCGCTGCCTTCTGGGACTGGGGAGGTGAGGGATGAGTTGGGGAGGATAGATAAAATAAATCAGCATTTATATGATTTACATTCAGATTGTCTGTGCCAGTAAATTGTGGACTTGAGACTGTTGCTATCAAGCGGTGTCAGAGGCAAAACCCTCGTGTCTGGAGGAGGGAAGGGAGAACTAGACATCAGCTGGGACTGGGAATGAGGTGGGAGAGATGGGGAGTTTTTTCGGAGAGTGGGAGTTGCCAGTAAAGCTCTCTTGGCATCCCAGGCAGGTCTGAGACAGGAGACCTGGGAGAACAAAGGGAGTTACGGTTTCTGAAGGTGAGTTGGGTGCCTTCTGCAAACCAGAGCTGATCTCTGACGTGCAAGGAGCAAGGAATAGGGGGGTGTGGATGGAGAAGGTGGCTGGCAGGCAGGCTGTGGCCACACACGTGCTGTGCGAACCCCGGGATGCTCGCAGCCGTTCTCTGCGCTGGGTGCAGGTGTCGGTTCTGATGGTGGCTGTGGGAGGGGCTGTGGATGCGACCACTTGGTGGAGATCCCAGAAGGGCGAACGGGCAGCACGAAGCACTGGTGTGCTCAGACCCATCGTAGGCAAGGGGGCGAGCAGAGGAGGGGTGCCCTGGGGCTGTGGCAGAGGAGGGATGGGAGTTTGGGGATGGAGGACGTGCTGGAGGAACGCCCCGTGTCCTCTGCCTGATAACAGTGCTCTTCCCAGCCAGCTTGGCGCTCTGACCTGGGTCCCTACACAGTGACAGCCCGAGGAATGTGGTGGGAACGTGTTTCCTGAAAGCAGGACTGTGAGTTTTGGCAGCAGCAAAGACTTGGTTTGGGTTAAACTGGTTGTGAAACCATTGCTTGTACATTCTTCTCCCTCCTTCTGGATCCGGAGGCGCAGGAGCTGCAGGCTGTGTTGTCTCCTGGCTAGCCGGAGGAGGAATACCCCGCGGAGCTCTGGGCGGCTCTGCTGCCTGCGTAACCCTGCGTGGCAGCTGGAAGGGCTCTCAGGCGTGCGGGACCAGCAGCCCCAGCCCAGTTCTAGCTGGGACAGCGATGGGGAGGCAGGTTACCCAGCACTTTTCTTCTTGCCAGGCTGCAGCTGTTGATTTCCCTCTGATTGATAAAATTCCTCATCCCATCCCTGATTAGGGAGTTCATCTCCTCTTATCTCCAGACTCTGTGGCCTCAGCTGGTGGAAGTTCTTCCTCCGTCTGTGGGAGCTGCTCTGTCTCTGGGGCTGGCTTTCCCCGGGACGTCTCTGGGAGTTAAGGACATTTCAGTGGTGTCCGTGGGAGACTCAGTGCACAGAGTGTTTCCGAGAGCTCCGCGAGCCTGCCTGGTCTTTTCCTGCTGCACAGAAGTGCTGCAGAGCCCGTGCTTTTCTGTCACACTGCTTCTCCTCTCCTGGCACGGGGAGAAAGCATGAAGCAGAAAGTAAAGAAGGTGGTGTTTGCAAGGCAGTGAAAAGCTGAAGCCAGGGCTACAAACAGGGACTGTTCACTGTCAATTTATCTGACTTAAGTTTATAGTTGTCACATAAAATCGCTTCCCACCGGGCAGCTGAGCTGTTGGGACCATGAGACGACGGGATATCACTGTGTCTTTACCCTGTTTTTCCTTCGTCTCTCCTAGATGCTGCCGCTATCCTGCAAGAGGAGCAAACCAAGAAACCTTGTCGGAAGTTTCTGCAAACAGGTGAGTTCTGCTGGGGCAGAAATAACCGCCTGAGCTCCGGCAGCTCCTTCGGGCTCTTCTGGAGAGCCCTGCTGGGTGTGTTTGTCCTGGAGGGGCGTGGGCCTGCGTGTCTGCTGTGCAGGTGTGATGGGTCGTGGATTTGCACCCACATTTACCGGGGAGGACCCTGTGCATGCAGCTCTCATGGTACTCCGTGGCTTCTGTTCCAGGCCAGTGTGATTTCGGGTCCAACTGCAGATTTTCCCACATGACGGAGCAGGACCTGGAGAAGCTGAGCGCCCAGGTGCAAGGTGAGTTCTCGAACGAGAAAAATTTCTGTGAGTCTCTGAGGAGGGGGAGTCACTGCGGGGAGTGTGGGTGCACCGGGGCGCGTGCGGGGTTGTACGGTGAGAGCCCGTGGCCCCGTGCTGCCTGTGCGCAGCCAGCCGAGCGCGGATCCCTCCCTCCCGCTGCCTCCCGGTGCTGTGTGAGCCCGCAGCGTGGCTGGAAGCGCTGCAGTTTTTCAGATGCTTTCTGCTCTTGATCTGCTGGCACACACACAAACCTAGAGCTGAGCGATGCTGTTACCACTTCGCAGCGAGCGTCTGAAGCACAGAGTGGGCTTTCTGAGCCCTCGGGGCTTTGCTCAGTCAGGGAATGAAAACTGTCAGCAGCAGAGGGCACTGGTACATCACGTCCCCTTAATTTATGGATTTGATTTCCCACCACCTCCCTACTATTCCTGGGGAGCTGCTGCTTCCACTCTTGGAAGGAGCTAGCCTACTGTCAGTTGGGTCATCTCGAGAAGCGGTTTTGGGGTCCTGAATCCAGAAATGTCCCTTTTCACATGGCTTCGGCTGAAGGTGACATTTGGGTAGAGGCTGAGCGGCACCTGCTCCCCTGCTGTGGGTTCCAGAGCACTTTGGAACTTTTCTGTTCTGGGAGTTCCACCTCCGTGCCCGGAAAGGGATGGCAGCTCTGTTTTCCCTGTAGGATTCATTGCATCGGGGGTTCAAGAAAGCGTGAGTGAGGGCTTGGTGAGAACCTGTGGAGCGGCTGAGGTCCCCGCTGGAGACTGTCTTGTCCCAGCCCAGCCTCGCTCAAAGCAAGGTGAACTGGAGCGGGCTGCTCAGGACCACGTCTGGTTGTGTTTGGAATACTTCCACGGCTGGAGGTTTTCCAGCCTCTATGGACAACCTGTTCCAGAGTTTGCCCACATTTACAATAATGTGTTTGGGGTTTTTTTTAATAGTTAAATGGAAATTCCTGTGTTTCAGTTTGTGCCCTTTGCCTCTTGGTCTTTCACTGTGCACCGTTAAGCAGAGTCTGGCTCCAGCATCTTACTCTCAAATATTTACACACGTGGACAAAATCCCCCCTTTAGCCTTCCTGTCTCCAGGCTAAACAGCCCCAGCTCCCTCAACCTCCTCTCCTACATCAGATGCTCCAGTTCCTTCATCCTCTCTGGGCTCCTTTGCTGGACTCCCCCCAGTATATCCCTGTCCCTCTGGTACTGGGGAGCCCAGCGCTGGACACAGCCCTGGGACGTGGCCTCCCCAGTGCAGAACAGAGAGGAAGGAGGGCTTCCCTCAGCCTGCTGCCGACGCGCTGCCGCACGCAGCCCAGCTTCTGAGCAGAGCCGGTGCCCACGCTGCGAGCTGGAGCCAACTGTTGTTTTGCCAATCGTCTGGCAAAAACTGGCTGAAGTGTTGGAAGTTAGTACGTGTGCGCATACATACGAGATGTGGGGCGTGCGTGGGGTGGAGACTCCTGGCCTCCAGAGGGATGGGGTTTGGGGAGGCAGGGCTGCGGGGAGCCGGGGGGGAGCGGGAGGAAGGCAGGCACCTCTGAGCTGTTCCATCCTCGCTGATGCTGAGTCAGTTTGTGAGTCCCCGGGGCGCCGACTCTGTGAATCAATCGCTGAACAACGCCGGCAGTCAATAAAACCCATCGCGCCAGGCTGTGAGGGAGAGGAGCACTCCAGCCAGCCCTTCTCGGAGCGGCCGTGCCGGGCGGGTGGACATGCTCCTCCTCCCTGCTGCGAGCCCAGAACCTTTCCCCGACCCCTCTCTGCTGCGGGGTGTCGGCGCTGAGCTCCCAAGGGGGGCCACGGTGTGTCAGGCTGTTTGCAGGAACCCGGAGCCTTCCCAGTTGCTGAAGGTGGCAGGGGAAGGGAAAGCTCTGGAGCGGAGCGGAGCCGCGGGGGAAGGCTGGCGAGCTCTGCACTGCTCTGCGCTTGGGCACGTTTCTTTGCCAGTTCCACTTGTTACTGAATATTGACTTGTGTCAAACGGGTCGGGTGTAAGCGGAGAGCTGGCTAGTGAGATTCCTGGGAGATTACCTGGAAACATTGCGTTTGTATTGCCAAGTGAAACATCTAATTAAACAATTAGACTTGAAGGAGCGCTGGTCAGGGGACAGTGGGGTGCCTCGTCCTTGGCTGCGCTGCTCGAACACGAATGCCGTGTTGCAGAGTTAAATCCTTCTCACCTCCCTTGCGGCGTTGCTCCTTGGCAATCCCCTGTGAGCCCAGCGAGCGGGCTGAGCATCGCACAGACCTCAGAGTCTGATAGCTTGAGCCCACAGAGAGCTTGGGGGGATTTGGTGGAGGGAAGAGCTCCGCAGGACGTGGTGGAGAAGCAGTGCAGCCCTTAACGCGGCGGACTGGATGGAAGGAACAGCTGCAGGAGCCAAGCTGCTGTTCAGTGTGTCTTGGGGACGTTTCACCGCTCCTTAGGCTGCTGGAGCATCCGTCTCTCAGCTGGTGAGGCTTAGGGCAGAGTTTAACGTGAGCTGGTGTGATGGCAGGTCACGCAGGAGACCTGGTCCTTGTAGCACATCCATCGGGTGCCTCCGTCAGTGGTGTCCACGTGTGAGCACCCAGCCCTGGAGCCTCTGTGCTGTGCGGCATCGCGGCCCGTGGCCGGCACGGTGACACAGCCCAGGTCAGAGCGGCGGTCTGGATCCGGCTGCCACTCGCTGAATTGTCAGCGTCCTCGGAGATTTCCCGTCTGAACCTGCAGTGGCTGGGGGGGTTTTTTAGGGTTGCCGGCGCGGGGGGGCGGG